TATGTTGTCAAAAGGAAGGACGAAGGTTAATTTCTCTTCCGTATGCAACACGACGGAGCCAGGTGTTGTGTAAGCCCTGGTACAAGAACTTCCAGAGTGGGACTTGTAAAGGATCCATACCTTCAATGTCTTTGTAGCTTGAAAACCTGCTCTGTCGGATTCTGGAAGGGAAATCCAAACCATTGATCTTGTTGGAGTCGTGGAAGTCGACATCAGGTTTCCATTGCTCCACTGGTGGGATTTCAATTGGTCGGCATGTATACCCTTCGTTGACAGTAGAACTTGCTCCCGGGGATGACATAGGTCTCGGCGATCTCGGTGTAAAAGGATGACGTTGAGGTGCAAAGTTGGCATTGTTGGGAGGTGTCTGGGAAAACGGAGGCGGTGTAGGTGGGAAAGGTGCCGTAGATGGAGTCCATGGTGGGCGTGTTGGGAACGATGGAGATGTAGGTGGTGGAGGCGGTATCCCGGACGGGCTCCAAAAAGGTCGATGGGTCGCCATTGCATAGTGCATCGGGCCACGGAACCCAGGTACTGCTTGGTGCCATCCATGTTGATGACGAGGAGGTGTGCGAGAGCGATCCGGCTGGGAAGGAGGAATTCCATTCACGTCAGAGCTGAACTGGGAGATCAGGTCCTGGGACGCCATGATGTAGACGGGGCCACGAGATAATAGGTCAAAATAAGCTCGAACTGCCGACTGAAAGCTGCGGTGAAATGTCAAGGTGAGGCGAAGATGGTGTGCGATTGAAACGGTGTGAAACATGGTACGTGGTCCCTGTGTGTGAAACATAAAGTGAAATACGAAGTTGGCGCAAGGTTCAAATATCATGAGCATGCAGCAGTTCACAAACCTTTTGAGGGAAGAAGTGGCATCAATACCGAATGTCGGGAGAAGCATTGTTACTCCAAAAAGATCGGGCAGGGCCACTAGGCTCACTGTATCGCTGTCGTAGAATAGTCGATACTTGTTCCGGTACTCCTCAGAGGTAAAGGGTTCACCAGCGAGATCTGGAGTGGTATGTCGAGTGTCGAGAACGAGGTTGGCCTTCGCGGTGCTGGTCTCGAGAATGGCCTTCGTAATGGGAAGATCGGCGATCTCGACGGCTGTAGGTTGAGTTGTCCCAAGAAGCATTGTCGTGCCAAGATCGGCGAGCATGATCTCGAGAGCCAGACGCGGTGGTCTCGTGGTGGTCCGTTGTGTCTCGAGAGTCGTCAGGAGGTGGGTCCGAAGGTGCTGGTGCGTCGGCAGGAGGGTCAGGTCGTACTGGACGTGCATGGTCATCTGGAGGTTCCATGGGTGGGTTTGTCTCCGCTGCCTGGTGTGTGATCAAGCCCGGGAAAACCGAATGAGTGGAGGCAACATAGCATATGGATGCGGCGCTGGAGTTCATAGCCGTTGCATTGTCTTTGCCCTTGGCGATGCCCGCGAGGTTGCACAAGCGTTGAATTTGGTCATTTCCTCCAGCTAGGGCGCGGATGCATTTGGGTGAGCGACAAATGGCCAATAGGCCAGATGGGTTTTGTCCTTTCCCTATGCGATAGAGCTGAGAGGTACAAATCTTGACAGCATAGCCTGGCAAGTGTCGATGTCAGCGATCTCAGAGGACATACCGAAGAACCCGTAACATGGGTATTGAGTCGGGACGCCGGCTTCGTTTTTTGTCCAAGTTGCCGGGCGGATGCAGTCTTCCGCGAGAATTTTGGCAACTGATTCCCAACTCGTTTTGTGGTAGATCAGGTAGGTGCCCATGTGTTCGCCACGATAGATCGGTTTCTTTCTCAATCCCGTGGGGACCGTGATGGTCAGCAGGTTCTCTGGCTCGATGTAAAATGCTTGGGTTTGCCTCGCAAGCTCGATGTCCAGTAAGTTGGATTGTGCAAAGGCCCTGGCAATGTTCTTGACGGTGGCTTGGCTTGCTTTGATATAAATACGTTGGTTGTTGACGGTGCGATATGGTTGAGCCAACTGGTGGAACATCTCGTCAACGAATTGGTTGAAGAGCTGCAAGATGGCCGGGGTCAATGATTGGCGTAGGGGCACGGTATGGTCGGGGCCAAGCTCAGTCAAGCAGCGGACCCTAAGGGGATCATTGGCCGCCTCAACCATTTCACTGAGGTCGATGTCATTCGTGTCGAACTTTGAGATCGAAATTGCATCTGCCACCTCAGAATTTTCACTGTCACCGTCAGGGACGCGGAAGGATACAGCGCCAAGTGGTGCTGTAGTGTGGGATGGTGGGTTGGTAGCTGGTTCAGGTGGCGGTGGATCGGCAGGAGAGTTGGGTCGAGCAGTGTTGTGGTGGTAGTTGTCGGTGTAGTGGCTGTCGTTCCATGTGCCCCAGGTGTCATCAGCGTCGGGAGTGGGGATGTAGGCCGGATTGGATGGGTGTGCAGCTGGTTGAAGTACGACTTCACGGCCTCTGGATCGGTGACGTGGTGTCTCGGAGCGTGGTCTTGGGTGAGATCGATGACGTCGAGGAACCACGGGAGAGCGGCGTCTTGGCGGTGATCTTCGTCTGTATGGAGACGGGGTTCTGCGGTCCTTGGGGTGTTTCGTAGATGACCGATAACGAGGAAGAGGAGAACGAGGTCGTACCGCACGTTGAGGAGAATAGCGATGACGATGGGATTGTACTGGAGGTCGACGGGAACGTGATCTTGGAGTCCTGGATCGTGGTCGGCGCGTTGGGGATGGCGGAGCATGTAGGTGGTGAGGAGGAGCGATGGCTGGAGCTGGGATAATGCGAGGGTCCGGAACGTCTGGTTCGGTGGGTCTGGCTTTTGGTGCAGGTGGAGGTATGGCAATAGGTGGTGGTGCTGCTGTGGGTAATGGTGTCGGTGGAATGGGGTTCGGTGGAGGTCCATCGTGTTGGAGGAGTAGCTGACGTTGTTCTTGGGCACGTTGGGAATCCATGATCAATTGTTGTTGAGCTTGAATGAGTCGAACTGATTCCGCAAGTTGCTGTGTAGTGGAGCCCAGCGCTGCAAGTTCAGGTGAAACAGATGAAGTCGGTGCTGCCGTTGGTGCCGGTGGTGTAGCAGGAGGAGAGGCTTTCGGAGCTGATCGACGTGGTCTGTCCGTTTTCTTGTCAGAGCGAAGCCTGGGAGCCGCCTTAACTGCTGGTGGTGGAGGTTCATCTGGAGGGACCATCGATGCGTCAGTCGGCAATGGAGGATGAACGTGGTGAGGTGGGTATGGAGAGCTCTGCAAAGGTGTCGGTGGTGTAGTCGATGTAGGTGGTGTAGTCGATGTAGGTGATGGAGCCGGAGGAGAATGCCATGTGGGTGGAGCGGTGGGTGCCGTAGGAGTAGAAAAGGTCGGTGGAGCAGTGTGCACCAGAGTGGTTTCAGGAGCCACAGGTGTGGGCATAGTGGGCACAAGTTGCATGAGGAGTCGGAGTCAATGAGGTAAATGGCAGTGAAGTTGGGGCTGATGAAGACCATGTAGGATGCAATGGCGAGGGATGTCCAAATAGATGTGCGTTCTGCGATGATTGCGGCCACGTCGAGGATGGGGTCGTAGGCTGCGGTGGAGCAGGCCATGACGTCGGAGGAGTGGTCCACGGGTACATCGCTCACGAAAATAATGAAAACTAATGAAAAATAATGAAAAGTCACACACAGGACTCAGTTCCTAGACCTACTGTTCGTGCGATTGTGCCACAACAGGCCCGTGTTCCAGTCAGCCACAAGGGCATAAAACGGCTTTCAAGTTCCATCGAATTAGATGCACAAAATGTTTAACCTCACCAGACAACCATCAAAAAGAAGAATACCACACCTGCAAGACATGGGCCTGCCTGATTCCTGTATCAAATGCTGTTGTCATGAGTCGTCAAAAGCAGCTGCGAGAAGGAGAAGGTTTCTGATTGTTTCGAACAACGTCACGCTAGAAGAATGCAATTCACGAGGATCACAAGGGACAATAGGAGCCGCGGGACTCTCGAAAAGGCTGATGAACCGTAAGGCCAGCTGTTGCAATTTACTTAGATGAATTACCAACTTAAAAATGTAAATTCGGCAGTCAGGACAGTCGTCACTCACCCTAAAGAGGGTTGCCTCAAATGGCTCCATGGCACCATGTCGGAGCCACCATGGAAATCACACTAGACAAGAATGGATCATTATATGATCCGGCAGGAACTGAATCCTGAAACATGCAAACCAGCCTAGATCGTTAGATTTATAAAGGAGCCTCATGAGGTACTTCTCGAAAACGATGTAAGGTATCCGATATTGTCAAACGGAGTTTTAACCAGAGTCCACAAAGTTTTGACCAGCAAGTTGAAAATCCAAAATAATAATGTTTCGGCGATGGATTCCCAAAATAACCCAAAGTTCATCGGCGACATGATCTCGGCGAAATAATCCAAAAAATCAAGAATACTGTCGGCGACATGGTTTCGGCGAAAATCTGAGGAAGGTTCTGATGCAGTTTAAATAACCGTAAATGACCAAATTTGATTCCAGATTGCGACAACCGTGAAGTGAAAAAACATCTGTGCGGTTTTAGGCTTGGCCGCTTGCCATGTCGGAAATTGATATCGAAACTGCAGGTACGTCCAGGTGATCAGCCTGGATATCCTAAGGACACCATAGAGAGCTTCGTTGGGCACAGCTCTATGGGCCTTCTGTGCCCCCCTGCAAATGTGAAAAAATTAGAGCCATAGAAGTTCCCTTGCAAATGTGAAAAAATAGGGCAATAGAAGTTTTACATCTGTTCAGATGTTACACACACACACACCTGTGTATATTGTTCCGAATGAGGGATGGCCCTTTAGTTCAATTTGTTCAAAGGTTCGTATGAAGGATGATCCCAAGTCAACAAATTTCAACAATACTATCAAAGCACATCGTTGTTTATGTCTTTCTCACAACTCACCAGGCGCCAGGGTCAAAGAGCCGTGACAACAAGAGCTCCGGCTCCATGTACAGCTTATACTCAGTATGAGTATACTTAAATCAAAAACATCTTACGCCAGCATTGAGATTCTGGCGCATGATGCTTTGAAGATTTGTTCTTCTCCTGAAGATGGCCGGCGTACGCAAGTGGCTTGAGTGATATTGTTGCGTGCCTTCGTGAAATTTCAGAGTTTTTGATGGAACATCACCGTTTTTCATAGGTAAATATAAGGAAACGATCTGTAAATAGTGATGTTCATTGATTTTCCATAGCTATATTCACTTACCAAAGGGTAAATTGCCAGAAACTGATCAATGTGATGAATGATCAAATCAAAGTGGGTATGGATCAGCCTTGGCTACAAAATTGTTTGTTGTAGAGCGGGGAATTCTATGAGGATGGGTGCCTCCACGTTCAACCGATACTGCCTAGAAGACAATCATGGCAATAGAAGAACCTATATGGGGTATACGGTATACGAATATGATTTACTTGGTGAAAACGAATATACACTGTTCATTGCTATGCTGAATTGCCGGAGGGGAATTGAAAGGAGACAGTTGGAATTACATACGAGTCTGAAATTCAGGTCAGAATGGAAGATGTTTCTGACTGCAAGAAGATCAAGAAGTGGAGGAGGAAGGTTCCACTCCCAGAAGGAGATCATGAAATGAATATACAGGGTTCATATTTTCAAGTCAAGCAATGCAAAAATACATGCGCAAAAACTACCCAAGTGGTCTTAAATCGAAGCGCTTTCTGTGTGCAGTTCACTCTTCCAGGCAATCTCTGGTGAAATAAATGCCTCAACTACTTTATATCCTCGAGCTTCTTGAATTTCCAGGGTCTTGGTAATATCGTCTTGTATGTACTTGTTTAATGCTGGCTGCTTGCTATAACACCATTTTCCGGACCTACACGCAGTCTTGTTGCCAAATACATGAAAGGAAGTTACTTCTGCAAACATGCTTGTGTGATCTTGTTAAGTCGATGTTGCTTCCGGAGAAGATGGGTCATTTACCCTCTGGTAATTTAACATAGCTATGGAAAATCACCATGCTATTAATGGGAAAATCCACTATTTCTATGGCCATTTTCAATGGGAAAATCCACTATAAATGGCCATGTTCAATAGGAAAATCCACTATAAATGGCCATTTTTAATGGGAAAATCCACTATTAATGGGAAAATCCACTATAAATGTTAAATCCACATAACCAGAGGGTATGGTCATTTCATTTTCACGACTCACCACGTTTCACTTTCCCCCCATGCTCCACAGCAGTCCTTCCAGGCGTCCTCTCGTGGGAAATCGCTCCGTCGCGGCGGCGCGTTGGCCGCCAGCAGGATGTTCTCGGGTTTCAAATCCGTGTGAGTCATCTGGCAGATGGGGATTCAAGGTGTCTCCCTATAGACATGCAACTGAGTGATGAGAAGGAAATGTTTCAAGGAAACATAAGGAAACCAAGGAAACCATGTTTCTTCCAAGCGTCAAACAAAGAGGTCTTCCATGGTCTTCCAAACAAAATGTTCCCTTCAACCAATTGTGGGTGCCCCCAGGATGGGATGGCTGGCCCCCCAAAAACCCGGATGTCCGGGAAACCACAACGGAACCACTGGTTTTGAGATGAGCGGATCACCGTGTTGAGCAACTGGTGTGAAAATGTTTGTGTTTCTATGTGTGTCAAGGTATCTGAATATAAGCAAACTCGGAGCTGGACATAGTAAATATCATATATATATATATATATATATTATGTAAATATAGTCGTAGACAACAAATAGTTGTGCTGTATCCAAAATGTCAAGGAACAAAGAGCTGATCCTGAAATGCGTTGGGATGGAGGAGTCGGGTTGATACATGTATCATTCATTCATATCATTCGTATCTTATATATATATACACTGTATATACTGTATATACTACATAATTTCTATACATAGCATTTCTTCACACTTAACAAACTCTTTCTAATCGTCTGCATCCGAAGGTTATAAAAACATCCCGGGTCTCACCAAGGGCGCGTCGTGAAATCCCCTTTTCGGTGTTCGAACGACCTGAAGACGACTGTGCAGGAAACCCAAGGCATCCAGGGACTGCTCTGCAAACTGCTGGATATCCTGCAGCCAAATCAGAAAGATCCAGATTTGGGATAGAAATCCATGGGATATCTTGAGCTAAGTACTATTTGGTGGCTGCAATCCCCGGAAAAATATCACTTGATGGGAAAAGAGATTGAACTTTTCCACGCGTTCATGGCAAAGTGGACATACGCGAGTCCGCTCTATTTCCGCGTGCAGATCTCGCAAGGAACCACTCAAAAGATGCTAAAAGAGACTGAGCCGATCTTGGCGAGTTGTTGATTGAAACCTTTCGGGAAAGTAGCAAACCCTTGCACTGGTGCCAGCGTGGTCTCTGCAACGCGTGCAGCCATTTTCATCATCCCGGGTAAGGGATAGGATAGGATAGGAAAGGATATCCCAAAATCCCAAAATCCCAAAATCGTGGATCCTTACTGGACCATCAGGGCTCACGGGAATGACCTCTGCGGTTGGATTATGATTTGGAAACGGCTACAGGTCTGGATAAGGGGATGCCACTTGAAGACCCACGAGAGCGCATTGAAATCTGGTCTGAGTAGGTGGAATTAAAATTTAGAATATCGTCAAATAGGTCAAAGATAAGCAACCATATCAATACCATTCAGGATCACTTCGAGCTTTTATCCTGCCAGCAAGGATGTTCCCTGAAGGAGCATGTCCTCCATCCAAAAGCCTCGAAAGTCGTTCCTGAAGCGCCACAACAGTCGGGACAAACTCCGTGGCAAACTTCATGCTCAGGTGCTTACAGTACAAGGGATAAATGGGACCAGACGTCCAAAAGAAGCAGCAACTACCGGTTATTTTTCTGGGGAACTTCCTGCTCATACCTGCCAGATGGTGAATCATGTGAACCCAATACATTGGCCAATGCTACCCGAAAGCGGAACAATCCCTTTGAAAGGCCAAAATTGGGAAGTGCCAGATCGAAACAACATGAAACACCTGGGTTTTAAGACTTTTGAGAGGTGGATATTTATCATTCTTATATCATTCTTATATCATTCTTTATCAACATTCTAGCCACAAAGTAGCCACAAAAATCCTGCGCTGAGATGTTCATGTGGTGACTGTCTGTTTGCACCTGGCCACTCCCCTTGATTCTGCTAGAGAGAAATATCCGAAACACGTGCCTTTAAGGAAACACAAAGTCTCTTTCCGTGCCTTTAAAATCCTTTAAAGTACTTTAAAGTAAAGTGGATCCCCCAAGACCTCGCACCTTTCGGTCCAAGAAATCATCCAAAGAAACCAGCACTCTGTAATTTGTATCCGGCAATGAAAACTCAGAAAATTCTTACAGTGACTGTACAATGTACAGTACTGTAGCTCCTTTTGTGAAAATAGCTGTACTATTGCCAGGGTGGGTAGCACTGCACCCCTTGATCTACCCAAAACCAGCCAGATCCAGTCGAACTCAGTTGCAACTCGGGAGCTCTTTGAGAAAGTCATAGAGTGAACAGCCACAAACCTCGAAGACCAGGCAAAAGTGCCTCAGGGATGAGAGACCACTCTGCGGTGGGGAGAACTGAGAGAACCATCCTGAAAAAGGAAAACAAAGCTGTGAATGGGTCCATCCCAGAACTGGGGCAGACTAAACTTTGGGAGGTTGATCTGATGATATGATGCTGATAGAACTTGGGCCGGCTGGTGATTTCAACCATCCATAAACCCTCTCGAAGATTAGTGCCTACACGTGATCTTTGCTATCCACTGGTCCATGGAAGCCGAAATGAGTCGATGTAAGGTGTACCCCCTCAGCTCTCTGAAAAAGGAAAAGCGAAATCAGTCGGTCTCAGACTGAGACTTTGATCCAAAGCCATGTCCAGTACATCCGTGGATCAACCTGCAAATCTGCTGGGAGCAGGCACCCATTGAAGAGGAAAGTGTCCAGCATAATGGCACTCCTGAGCAGTCGGGCACTTCCCCCGGCTTTGGCACCAAATTCCAATGACCAAACAAGACATCCAAGCAACCCGTCAACCTCTCCAACCACTGTCCTGGTTCTCCTGCCATGTGGATCTGCCTTCTTGATATCCTGCAGAAGAGATCCGGTGGACTGGCCGTGGGACAAACAACACCCTCAAAGCATAAATGGTGGGGAGTTTGGTACTATGTGCATAATACGCGCGTGTCCAACCCCAAAAAATGAATGCTCGCACTCCAAAATGGAAGCAGTGAGCTTTAAAGGAAGTTTAAACCCCAAGCAACATTTCCCCCAATCAATTTCAATAGTCCAAAATCCCAACCCCCCTTGGCCCGGGGGCCAACTGTCCCTGAGAATATCAGCTTCGATCTTGGCGTTCTCAGCATACCTTCCGCCAGCCATCAACATCCACCACTGAACGTTAATCCCTGGGGGAATCGCTACATGGTCGGTAACTTGCTTACAACCGCCAACAACTGGGTTGTACGGGGGGTGTAGCCCACATATTTACAAGGCATTTCAGAGCAGTAGGGGTTGTGGCAGCAGGGGTCGTCGCAGCAGGGTGCCGATTTTTCTTGGATTAAAACGACATAAAACGACAATGGTTGTTGCTTCCAAGTTTTGGTCCTACAGAAACTCTATGGCTTTCCTGCTCCATTCGACCGATATTTCAGGAGGGACTTGGAGCTACCTTCGACAAAATGCACATCGCAGTGGTCTGCATGACCAAGCGGTGCACCCCATCAAATCAGCATGTCATGTGGTGGGGCCTAAGTGTGGGAAGCTGGCACACCCTCTGCAATGATTTTGGTATTTCTATTATTCCTTACATTGTTTCTGGTAGCAAAGCCATTGCTATAGTTGTAGTAGGTTTGCCCAATGTTCAAAATGGTCCAAGGCATGTGTCTTGACTATCTTTTGGTCAAACAGGTTGTAGACCACCAGTTCCATTCATGGTCATTCCATGTTCCCGAAAAGCATTGCTTCTGTCAGCCATTCTGCTGGTGGCTCCAGATAGCAACGCGGTCTTTTCCAGCACTGTGGGTCCAAACAGCCACGCAGGCCAGCTACCGTGAGGTGATAGATATCACGGTGGACGTGGGTAGTAGTGCATAAAGGGCGAATAAAAGATATAGCCTGGATAAAGATTGGATATCGAATTGATTTTGAAAAAGTGGGATGATCAACAAGATCAGTACTCAACCACCTTCCATATCATTCCATGTTTGTTTCAGTTTGGTTGATCAGCTAATCTTTTCACATCCACAACTCATCCGTGGATGGCTTCACACAAAGCGCTTCTCCCGTCTTGAGCCACGAGCTGATGTGCTTCTTCTCCTGGCAAGGCACTGAGGTCTCAGCTGTCAGCTGGAAATCCAACTTGCTGAGAATTAAATCCAACTTGCTGAGAATTGGGTGTTCAGTTGCGTCACTCTTCAGTTCCGTGCTGAGTCAAGTTCACTTACAAGAGCAGAATGTATATATCATATCCTATTATTTTCTATTATCTGTCTATAATTATGCGTGTTAAGCCAATTTTCAATTAGGTTCAAGCAAGCTTGCATTTCTACACTGTTTCGAGGGTTCACGTATCGCCCATAATGGCGGATCATCTTTACCCAAGGTCCACGAACGAACGCGCCTCGTCACGCGCGACTTTGACGCAGGTGGGATCCGAGGAGTGGTTGCCACGCAAATCCAGGTGGTGCGCCTTGGTTCCATCAGGTGTGGTAAGAAAAACCCGTGGGTACCTCTGGGTACCTCTGGTACTGACTAACAGTGACTAACAGTTTCCAATGGAAAATCACCACTATGTAAAATAATAGGTCAATCATTAGTAAATCATCAATCTAGAAAAATGGGCCATCTATATCATAGCTACATATATATATATACTATGTTAAATTGCCAGAGGGTATGATCTGATAGTTCTAGACGGTTATGAGAATGATACCCCCTTTGGCTGGAGGGGTTGATAACACATTTGCACTCCATTTCAGGTCTCACGGTAGAACCCACGAAAACTGATCAGTGAGCAATTACCCCTGGCTGCAATGGGCGATTCTCGCTGGGGGAACCCGGAGAGTGTCACTGATATACTCTATATGGGGCCCCATATAATATGTAAATTATATAATTATATATATATACTTTATATACCAAACAAAAGCTCGGGGAGTAGAACTCTACATCTGCAATGCCTCGTGCTTAATCAACAAAACAACAAAACATGAAGACTTGCTCTTTCCCTGGGCCAAAATCGTTGCACCCTACTGCCATCCAAGCACCCCAAGTTCAATGGTCACAGCAGGCAACCAGGGTGACTGGTCTTTCAAATATCCACCTCGCAGGAGCATAGCGTTGTGTAGCGGAATGTGATTGGGCGGAACGTGATTGGACAAAAAGTTACGATGAACTTGCTGATGGTCAGAAAAGGATACGGTCCTCTGAATGATCTGTGACATATGATACTACTGTGATACTGGTTTCATGGTGAGATTCTTTCATACCACAGAGCCAGAGAGTTAGCTGACTCAATTGCAACTCGGATTTGTTAAAGGACTTTTGAAACTTCCAGCAGTCGATTTTCCCAAAACCCCGGCCTCCGTGCCATGGATCCAACAAGCCATTGGAGAAGATGATTTTGGTGCCAGATTTGCTGATATCGATCCCTCCGTACCTGACAGGCAGAGGTGCAGAAGCAGAACATGGGCCTATCCGTTGATCCTGGACTTGTTGCTGCCGGGTCGCTGCAAGCGGTTCAGAACCGGATCTGGCTTCACGCCATAGTGCTTCATGCAGTACGCGTTCAGCTTCTCCATGGTCCAATTCCTGCAGCTGGGAGTATTGCTACAGTGGTTGGAATCAGGAAGCCTTATGATGGATCCACTGCTTTGTAGTTGCCTCCGGAAAATACAAAGTAACATCAATCCACTGGGAATTGCCGCTATGCTCTAATTGAGGTGCCTGGGCGGAAACATATCGGTGACGTTGTTGGTGTTCTGCTCGTAGAAGATTTCAGTACCTGAGCAGCTACCCATGTCTCAAAGTTTAAGGCTGCACCTGCAAGTCAACTCAGAATTCATCAACCAAGGCAGCGCAGAAGTTTTTTCAAGATCCCATTCCATCTCAACTGTACCAACATCTTTTCATTTTACCAAGTGAATCCAAGTGACACATCTGATAATCCCATGCCTTGGATGTGGGGCCAGTACCACAGCCAGTCTGATCCGCGCATTCCACGAAAATTCTGTACCTCAGATTTCATTGACTCATGGACTCATTTGACATAAAATGGATATAAATGGATTAAAATTGCAGAAAACCCACTTCGGAAGCATTGATCCACTCTCCTTGTAGCATTCCTATCATATTCTATCATCGGGGAACTCGATAGTTTGCAACACAACCCCATCGCAGCAGAAGCAGCGCTTTTCTTGGCACTACAACATGTGCCCGGACCACGGCGATTCTCTCCGGGGTTGCATCAAAACACACATAAATCATCATAAATCAATCCATATAAATCAACTCCAGGTATTCCAATGTTTCCATACATTTCTCTGGTGTCAGTTAGTGGCAGTTCAACTCTACGTTCTGCAAGACCAGACTCTGCACACTGCTTGGCAATACAACTTCTTCTAACACGTGGTGCCATGCGGGACAACCAAAAGCTAATTGTTCAAGTTTCTGCGGGAAAATAACTCGCTCCAAGCTCTGGTTGAACCTCACACCAAAATTCAACGTTCGAAGACTGGCTGGCAGGTTCACTCGCTCTAAGCTCTGGTTGAACCTCGCACCAAAACTCAACGTTTGAAGACTGGCTGGGAGGTTCACGCGCTCCAAGCTCTGGTTAAAGCCATCACCAAGAGTCAATGTTTGAAGGCCGGCTGGCAGGTTCACATCCTCCAAGCTCTGGTTGAAGCCACTGCCAAAATTCAGTGTTTGAAGACTGGCTGGCAGGCTCACTCCTTCCAAGCTCTGGTTAAAGCCATCACCAAGAGTCAATGTTTGAAGGCCGGCTGGCAGGTTCACTTCTTCCAAGCTCTGGTTGAAATAATTGCCAAAAGCCAACATTTGAAGACTCATTGGCAAGGTCACTCGCTCCAAGCTTTGGACAAAATGATCACCAAAGGTCAAAAATTGCAGGCTTGTTGGCAGGGTAACTCGCTCCAAACTCTGGTCGAAATTATGACCAAAAGTCAATTCTTGAAGACTGTTTGGCAAAGCCACTCGCTCCAGGCTTTTGTTGAAATCATGACCAAAAGTCAATTTTTGAAGACTGTTTGGCAAAGCCACGCGCTCCAAACTCTGGTTAAAGCTACAACCCAACATCAAAATTTCGAGACTGACTGGGAGGTTCACTTCCTCCAAGCTCTGGTTGATGCGATCGCCAAACGTCAATGCTCGAAGACTGGCCGGCAGATTCATTCGCTCCGATCTCTGATTGAAGCTCCAACCAGAAGTCAAAGCTTGCAGACTGGACGGCAGAGTCACTCGATCGAAGCTTTGATTGAAGCTCCAACCAAAACTTAAAGTCTGCAGACTTGTTGGCAGGGTCACTCCCTGCAAGCTCTTGTTGAAGTCGTCACCAAAAGCCAGCGTTTGAAGACTGGCTGGGAGGTTCACGCGCTCCAAGCTCTGGTTAAACCTCTCACCAAAACTCAACGTTCGAAGTCTGGCTGGCAGGTTCACATCCTCCAAGCTCTGGTTAAAGCCACTGCCAAAATTCAGTGTTTGAAGACTGGCTGGCAGGCTCACTCCTTCCAAGCTCTGGTTAAAGCCATCACCAAGAGTCAATGTTCGAAGGCCGGCTGGCAGGTTCACTTCTTCCAAGCTCTGGTTGAAATAATTGCCAAAAGCCAACATTTGAAGACTCATTGGCAAGGTCACTTGCTCCAACTTCTGGTTGAAGCTCCCACCAAAAGTCAGTTTTAGAAGACTTGTTGGCCAGGCAACTCCCTCCAAGCTCTGGTTGAAGCTACAACCAAAAGTCAATGCTTGAAGAGTGGTTGGCAGGTTCAGGTCATTCAGGTCTACTGCGGACTTGAAATCAAGCGTCAAGCTTTGGAGGCTATCAGGGAGATGATGCAAATACCTTCCTGGCTCGGTCACCCTTAGACGTGTTACTCCTTCCAATTCGAATTCTTCCGCGGAAGTTGCCAGTCCTTGGACGTAGCACCATGCAAAATACAAGTTTGTTGGCATGTAAGTACAGGATAAGGTTGCAGCTTCACTCATAATGCCTTGCTCTTGCAAGGTTTGGTTGAGCACCAGTGCTGCAGTACCATGATACAGCACCAGCTTCGCACCTGCCTTGGAAGCAAATTCTTTCGAAGCCATCTGCCGAACCTCCCGGCCCAGCGTTGCAGGAGAGACCCTCCAAAGCAATCCATTTCCAGTCATGCACTGCACGTGAAGATCAAACATCTCGAGGCTTTCCGGATCTGATGACTGACCTGCATAGCCAACAGAAAGCGACATCCTGCTTCAGGGTCTTGATGGAGCACGTAACCCCCGCCTCAATCAAGTCCAAGCTCGCACATGAGCTGCGCAATGTGCACGGCTGTAGCTAACCGGCGGCTATGCATCACTTTCCAAACTGTGCTGGAACCCCAGAGTGAAGCTAGACAAAGCCCGGTAGTTCTTTCTATGCCATGACGGTTGGCGGCCGTCTTGCTGTTCATTTTGTTATTCAAACAGAATGTGCTTTGCATTGAGTTCAATCAGTGGCTGTTTGGAGATCACCCATGATCACCTTGTTGGTCCGTCTGTAGAAGGAGGTGTACATGAATATATATATATATACAATGTTATATCATGTTTGTACAGTATATGGAGTCATATTATATGTATATGTGATATTCGAAATGTCTTGCTACAATATATTGCAATCACCTCATGTCATGTCGACACATATTCATCATTGTATTATGGCATCTTATTACACAGGATCATGTTACATTACACTTCTACTCATATCTGTGTATATATATATATAATTATATATACATATGTAAACACATGTGTGTGTGTGTGTCAAACTTGACCATTAGAAGTCCCTGCGTTCCTCTAACAAAGGAGTTGTAAACACAGTGTTCTCCTTGGAAGGCAGGCCGGCAGGCGGTCCAAAGATACCAGTCAAGCAGTACATCTATCGATCCTAGCGGTGGTTTGATGTTTGAAGATCCCATGGAGCAGGTTGGGAACCCCAGAGCAAAAACAGGACACAAATTGAAAAATTTGAACCCGCAAAAACAGGACCCAATTTCTAAATGGTCATGGGTCCAACCTTAAGACATTTCAAGACCGCCCGACCGCCCAAACTCACAAATGCTGACAGTGTCACAGAATCACAGTATCTTCTTCACGCCCTAGATGTCAAATTGTAAGCCGTTGTCAAAACTCGTTGTCTTCGCAAAGTTCCCCGAAAAAAGGGTATCGCATTTGGGGGTCCATCGCTATCCATAAGAAAGGATGAAAGGAAAGGAGGAAAGGAAAAGGAGAAAAGGGTCTACTTGTGGTTTGGGGTTACTTTTGGAAAACATATTCGTAGGGATATCGCTAATTTTGTCTCTTGCATGTACGCAACTTTGCGCAACACAACTTCGGATGTGGACATTATGCACAACTATAGGTATCGCTTTTGGAGGGGGCCCTATCCCTACACAGTGTTTGGCGCACTTTCCAGACACAATGAGAACACTCCTTTACATAATAGTATACCAGAGTTTTGATCGTACCTCTTGTGTCACTCCAATCACGCAGTGATTTTGACCATAGCTGGGCTTTAGAACGCTCTGCGCATTACCAACATTTGAACCATGGCTATCTCGCGTCTTCATCCGTCTTCCCTATGCTATGGCCAGCTACATGTCGAAGCAGCTCTGATTTGGCTGTTTGTAGGGCATTGCCACTGCTGCCGCAAGACCTGGTGGTGCCACTGGGTTGGGAGTGAAGTGGATCATCAGAGATTGACGAATCAGATTTGGAGCATCTGAGAATCTATATAATTAATTACTGATTTTATGACTGTAAACCTGTAAACCGTGGAACCTATTGATGCCATTGAGAAACTGGTAAGAAAATGATGAACCTATGGTTACAAAGTGATAAACCCATGAGTAAGTTTCTATTGCATCGGAATGATCAACCCATTGAGAAACTGATTGGAAAAGGCAGCTCGTAAGTTACCAAAGTTGAATGCCTGGTTTGGCCCATGTCCTCGTGAATCCCAAGATATCACAACTATACTATACCATGATTTACAAAATAACTAGTCTACAATGAGTGTTGGGGGGCGCGCACGCCAAGATATGATGATGAGACAAGTTTTGAGCCTTGTGGAACAAGAACATCAAGTAGAATGAGGTAGAAAATGCATGGTTCAATCCAGGAGTTACGAACTTCATGCCACTTCACAGTAGCAAAGGCAATCAATATCGACTTGTGGATCCTGGTGTCAGATTCCCAGACTCGCGATGCTTCAACGAACTTTGATTGCTTTCCCAACATGGATCAATTGAAGGGGACTTTACGAAGACCATTGAAGAACTGTTAGTATGAGTATAACTTAGTTATAAGATGTTATAAGTTATAAGTATATTACAAGATGTTACAAGATGATACTTTCAGTACTTTCACTACTGCTTTAAAAGGGCCAGGCACCGTCGATGGGACGTGCCGCTTCCAAGACTTTCTTGCAGGCTGCCGTGATGGGCCAGGCTGGCAGGGGCGCCAAGAACGACGAGGCATAGGGATAGTTGCCTCGCTCGGTGGATCCCAGTGGATCCGGCGATTTGCCCCCGGGATGGACCGTGAAGTTTCGGTAAAAAGTGTCCGAAGAAAGAACGGAAAAAATAAAAATGACCACAAGAATCCACAAGAGGTGTAATGACAATTAATGACAATTAATGACAATTAATGACAATTAATGACAATTAATGACAATTATGAAACATGGTTGCACGATGTTACACGTCTCAGACATGCTGTGTGCTCAGTGCCCAGCAGCTGTTCTGCATCTGAACCAGAGCGTTTGCCCGAACTTTCCAGCCGAGTCACACATTGCCATCTCCTCAGGTCTGATGAACTGATCCAAAAAAATGGTCGAAAAACCTTCAAGAGCGAAAAAAAGCTGCGACTTTCCACTTGGAGATCCTATTTGATCCAGCTTGATCATATATAATATATATATATTATATGATCCAAGATGATCCAAGTATATATTATCAATGCTTTTGTTGATAATGTCCATTTGCTAATTGTGCCCTCAGTTTTGCAAAACTAAGGCGGCCACGGTCCACGCGTTTCTGACGTACCTCATTTGTTGCGTGCTGTGTCAAAACACCAGCCCCTGTCCTGCTGTTTTTGCTCCTTTTTTGGATGGGTTCCAATTTTGACTGCCCCTTTGAAATGGCATGCGTTTGATTGGTACTTCCAAAACCACCCGAATAGAACAGTGTGGTGATCTAAGGCATGTAAGATTTAAGAAGTTTAGAAAGTCGCCGGAGGGGTTGTGAGCCCGGTCTATGAATGCAATGGCAAAAACGAGTCGGTTTGCAGGACTTGTTCAACCCGAATCAACTGCAAGAGATATGATTCTCATGATCCCTCAGTTAGGTCAAGAGGATATAAGTGACAAAACCCGCTGATTACCAACGAAGACTTAACGGTTTTCTGGATCCAGTTTATTTTCACGGACTTTGTATTCTCCGTCTTTCAAGACACTCTTGGACCGCTTTGCACTACAAATCTCGAGGTCATGGTTATGTCAATTCATCTCCATCTTTATGGTTTCACAGTCCCTTTTTTCAATCTCATCCACCAAACCGCTTAAATCATGGTCTTACGCTTTTGTTCGGTCATTCTTAAATGTTTCGGAAGTCTTTTACCTCACTTTAACCCCCATGTTGAGCCATTTCAATCACTTATTTATATATTCTATATATATATAATAGAATATATATATATATATATATCAACCCCATAACAAAATGTCACAGTTCCGCCATCCCAGAAAATTCAGGGAGAACAAAAACATGTAGGTCTTGCATCCCCGTCGGGTGGCTGAAGGAAATGGTCGATCTCTGAAGCCTCCATGGGCTTACAGAGTTGGAAGATGTCGCCTCAGAGGCCGCTGGTTCAGCTGAGATTTTCGAGCTGACCTGGAATTTCAGGCAGGGAATTAAGGTGATTTCATGGAACATGCATTCCCATGTTCTTTTCCTAAACTGTGAAATTGGTATTGACTTTGGTCAATCCAAATAGGCAGAACCTGCTCAGCTTACTGTTAAGCACCCTGCTAACCTGAAACAGCCACAATGAAGACGGATGTTGATATGACACCAAGCGGAACCCATCGAAACCACAAAATGAAATGCTCTTCATTCTTATTCCATATTTCCCATAGGTCCCAACTCAAAATAAGAGGGCCAATGGGCCAATCTAGATCCTTTTCAACGTAGACTACCACCTTTGAAGGTGGCTAAGATTTGACCCTCGTCGCAAATGTGTCGCGCTACTGACCCTTTCTACCCAAGATTCTGGGAGTTCAAGGGTGTGACCCACTTCCCAATCATGTTTTATCTTCGCACGGATGTCAGGATGGGCTGAAATGAAACAGCAAACATGGCTAAATAAAGACGAATATAGCAACCAAATCAACAAACCTCCTGTGGTTTGCTGTGACGAAAAGACTGCTGAACAGTTTCCAAACCCGATGTATTGTTGTTCATCGATTCAAATGGTTGGATCCGGATTACCAAGTCAAACATCAACGACAAACATCAACTGAGTTTGCCTGAAGATGAGGTGCCCGAAAATCTCATGGTTTATGTATGTTTATGTTGGTTTATCAGGTTTATGATATATTTCCCAGTTTCAAGCAGCTATGTTGGGTGTATCTCCGTGATTTGTTGGTGAAAACTAAATGTTTGAATGGTGAAAGTTAAATCCCAATTTTGGTTTGTTGAACCTGTCAGTTTTCAGTTCTTTGTTGGCTGCATAAGTTATTATATGTCATACCCACTGTTTTCCCACAGCTGGTTTTTACATGTTTTTACCTTGCTCATTGAACAAACCTGGCTAAACATGGCTAAACCAGCCGCTTAAACAGTAGTACTGTCGCAGCGTCCAGCGACTGATCTCCTGCAGCCCTGCTGGCGTCTTGGCCCGCTCCAAAATGTCGCTGAAGGCGCGCTGCACGGTTTCAGGACATTTCGGCTGCGCCTGGCCTTGGCCCGGGCACCGGCTACAGCTCTGGGCCTCAGGCATACATATATATATATATATATTGGTATATGCTATATTATTTTATGCTATATTGAGGCTATATTGCGTATGATTCTGTCTCTGTATCTATATGTCTGTCTATCTGTCTCTCCGTCCGTCTGTCTATCATCTATTTGTCATTATCTGTCTATTTATCCCGTCTGTGTAATTCTATCTGTCTAGAATGTAGTAATTCCAAAGCGTTTTGGAATAGAAGTATTAATCCGCGAGGCCAATCTGGGGTCAACATTAGTGGATGCTCACGTGCTTTCCTGACCATCCAAGTTATTGTAGTCCCCTGACCAGCTCGAACATGGGCAGTGGGGTCCACCAAGTGGGAATCATTCGAATCATTGCATGTTGAACCAACCCCAGTGAACATAGATCTGACTGTGATTCGAGACTTTGTAAAGCATCTAAAAGGCAGGCTTTAAGCAATCAGATCCATCAATTCCTTTGATTCAGAAATGCAGAACCTGTGGCGATCACCGCGATCCCGATGCCAGAGGGCGAGCTGAATCTGTTACACTCCGATAGAAGGTGGACTTGTCTTCCTCAGCCGATGGATGACTGGGATGTTCTGGGCTTCACCATAGCTGCCATAGATATCCACCCCAAGCGATGCCCTGAAAGCCGTTGAAGGTCCCACCTCTCCTATCATCCAGTCTGACTGGCAGTTTTCAACCCATCAAAACCAGAACAACTGGAGCTCTTAATTTCAGCTCAGCATGGAAAGCATACCATGTTTGAAACCTGCCGGAAATGCGCTTTGGTTGAATAACATATCCTCAGTGTAACAAACATTGAGGGTGAGTTCAGCCGAGCAAATCAGCCGAGCGCATCACCCCGGTGCTGCAAAGCCGTAGCTGCTGCTACGCTGCTGTTCATTTGTTTTGAATAAAGAGTTCGCAGAGCGTTTCGATACATTTGGGTGATTTTTTCTTGAAAGAATAAGAATGCCGCAGTATGCGAAACAATGACTTAAGCGAAACCCTGATTCCGATTGGAGGATTCATCTTCCAGGAATCAGAGAACGCTTCCATGGTGTCACTGAGAGTAGCAAGCACTGTTGATTTTGCCGCACAGGCGCTTGAAAGCATATGACTCATATGACCATCTTGCGCAACCAGGAACTACAGAATCAACTGGTTGCACATGTTCTATTTCAAAGAAATGTGGAGAAATCCCAATTTCCGCCTCAGTCTCTTGAAAATTGTTGCATCAACTACTCCTCAAAAACCGGATGATCTTTAGAAATCTTTAGAAACTATACTATATACATCTATATACTATATACTGTTATAATCTGTTATGTACTGCAGGATACTGCTACATCTCCGAATTGGATTTTCTGCCAAAACAAAGGCCTTCCGAGTTTCCAGGAGGTTCACAGCCTGCGGAATGGGCGCTGAGGCGGCTAAAGCCATATCGAAGACGTTGGGGTACTTGATGCGAGCCCAGGCTGACAGCATGCCTTGCCGTGTCTGGGGCCGTGTCTAAAGGAGATCCAAGTTATGGAAGCCTTGAAATTCTGGGAGATGGAAACCATGTGAACCCATGATAGATGGGGATAGAGCTAAAAAAACACATCGATATGAATACTGTAAGCAAAATAATGCAAAATATATCGGTAACTTGTTAAGATCTTGGTTTAAGTAGGAATCAGGATGAATCAGGCATGTGCTTGACCAATCTGTACCCGAAAGCCCACATGATGGACCGTTGAAATCACAGGGTCTGGGGTTCCTTGTGAGGGCTGATCCACATTGACATCACTCGGGCAGATCATCTCAAGCAAGTTTCCAAAGGTGGTGAAATCCCGAAACCCAGACACTTTACGAACACAAGGCCTTTTGAACAAAACTGTACAAAGATGACGCCTCAACACCCGGCCGCCTCCATAGGAACCTCCGAGAGCTACCACAGCACTGAGCTGATAGGTGGCCTGGTCCGCAAGAATCCGCAAAAAATTGTCCTTTATTTTTTCATGATTCGTGGGTCAAGTCATGGTATCTGTTTAGGGCCATGCCCATATGTTGCTGGTGCACCATCCACCAGGTGGTGTGTGGACCACACCTGGAGGTGTCTCACCAGCATGGCATAGTCTGCCAGGGTCTGGGAGATGGACAGGTAGCCCAGATTCTCCTGGGGTTCACCAAAAGAGCTCCAGTGGAGCCTGGATCCAAGGACTCCTCGCCAAGTTCCAGTGCCTAGGGGTGCCTTACTTTATAGTCAATTTTGGTAGCAAGAAATGGATACCCCCGAACTTAGACGGAAGCAAACCAAGTCCTTGGCTGAAACAGTCAGGCTAAATAAGGTCTCTAGATACAGTATGTACAGTACATGAAATCTGGAAGGCTTTTATGGTTGCTCTGCACCCCCGTCCTTGGTAAAGGACGCATTCCCAAAAGGCAAAGTCTTGCCATAGTACCTGGCAACCCCAACCCCAGACCTGCCTTATCCTCTGAGCCTTGCATTGCCATGCAATGGGCCTGTCCCCTCAACCTAAATACCCTGGAATCAAGGCTTGTAATTTCGGACCACCGCCGCCCATAAAAGAACCTAAACCAGCAGGTTTCAATCAATCTAGTGGCAAGAGGGAGTCCAAGTGTAGTGAACCCGTACCATTGGACGTGGGCCTTGGTCGGCCTTGGTCAAAACTGAAGACCCAAAAATGGGATACGTTCCGAACGTTCCCCCAGGGCCTTCAATTTGGACCCCCATGTCACACCAGCTTCGCCTGTGCTCACCAAAGACGATCAGTGCATTGAAGCTGGGGGCCCAGTCAAAGGGGAGCCCCGTGTTGTAGTAGAAGGACTCCAAAGGTCCTCATGAGGATATGCCACTGCGGCATGGCGGCATGGTGGACCCAGACCCCAAGTCCCTGGATTCATCATTAACTCCTTGCGGCCTTGCAGCTACTCCAACCTGTGAATTGGCCAGTCTAGCACCCCCAAATCCCAACGTTGTTAACTGCACACCCAAAGTTCTCTGCATGGATGGGTTGGCCACATTCTGGTGTTGCTTGTTGAAAACAAATGGTTATTGGTCGCGTTAATACGTGTTCGACCCCTCTGTTTGATTGGTATATTATGTTCACAGTTGCTTGTTAACTCCCCATGTTGCGTTGTTCCGACCCCCCATGCTTGGTAAACCCTTAGGCCATCCATGTCCCATCACTGTGGTGCCTTCATTCCCAGTATAGAAGAAGAGAGGTCCACCAGGACGATAACCTGGTACCGGGGGAAATCGAAAGTGACATGGTTACCTAGCACATCCCAGCACTATAGCTAGAAAAGTTGGGGTTGTAAAAGTAGGCTCTTGGAGTAAACGGGACGTCCAACTCCAACACATGCAAGCCTTTCTGGGAGTATCCCTTCGAAAATTGTTGTAAAAGGTTGAACATGTAACATGATCACAACTTCTGCATATGCAGAAGGTTTCTCATTCATAATTATATAACAATTTTAACTCGACCATTCCAGGGCAGGTGGGTGTGAAATCAGAGAGTGCCCACGTGCTGGATGATGCCTAACAAATCCCAAATCTGACTTAAGGGCCACAAATTACCACTTTCTCAAAATTACCACTTTCTCAGGTAAGTACACGCTAGCAGAAGTAGCGGCCAGTGCCCTATCTCTTGCCGCCCGATCATCCCCAACAAAATTGCACTTTATCCACGACAATTCACCACCAAAGATATGTAGCCACCCATATCATCCATCCAACAAAACCAAGTGTGATTGCTGGCCTTTGAAACATGCAAGAAATCCATAGAAATCCTTAAAGTTTTGATCAATTACAACAAACACGGGATGCAAGTCCAGCCACTGGCGTTGTAGACAAAGTACCTCTGCGCAAACCTCCGCACAATTCCCATGTACGGGATGCCCTTTCTCCAAGAAACACACGGGTTTGGGGTCCTAAGTGTTCTAAGTGTGCTTTTGTCCAAAATTTAGCACTTTTTCAGCAGCAACTGACTAGCCCATAGCCCATACAACAATAATTTGTGGGAAGCTCAAAATAATTTGTTTTCTCAAAAGGAAATCCAAAAACATGAGTTCCACCTGACTCAAACCCTGGAGTGGAAACGGTCTCAGTTCTCTCTCAGTTGGAGATAAATTGACTTCGCCAAGCCAAGCAGCTGGCGCTGGTCTTTGTAGTTAAAATGATCCAATTTCTGCTCAAAGGTTTCGATCTGCGGATGAGGAATCCTCAGCGGAGACCCTTTGCACCCCAGGCACAGTTCGACAAACACGCTGGGCCAATGAGACTGTGGACACTGCTCTGGCACTTCCCACCGAGCGATGGTCGTTAAAGCCCAAAGTTGATCAAATCATGTTGTTTTTCCAGAATCAGTTTCAAAGGACCACCGGAAGTTTGGTTTCTTCAAATAGTTTCCAAGAAAAAAAAAATACCTGGAGACATCTTAAGACCCATCGGTTTCCGATAAGTTTTCCCTCAAATCAAACCAGCAATTCTGCGCCAACCAGCCAGCCCTCAGTGGACCAGCAAGAAACTCCGAGTCTGAGACCACCACGGGTCCTCTTGGCGGTGGGGACATTGGGAATCTTACTCAAATCCATGAGAATTGAATACGTACCATATATGTACATATGAGTACTACATTTAAAATTGTCTTTGTGCATGTGTATGTATATATATATATATATATGTCTGTCTGTCTGTCTGTCTGGCTGGCTGGCTGGCTGGCTGGCTGGCTGGCTGGCTGTCTGTCTGTCTGTCTGTCTGTCTGTCTGTACGTATGCATGCATGCATGCATGTATGTATGTATTTATGTTTGTATGTGTGTGTAATGTGGATACTTGTATGTGCAACTTGGGCATCAAGTCGGTGAGCATCCAGTCGGTCTTACAAAGCTCCTCGGGGAGGTCGCGCATCCGCCATTAGCAGCAAGGTTGCCACGATACGAGCCATGGCACGCATGGCGCCCAAGAATTATGGGCACGATACGAAGCAGTTAACGCTGAGGGCAGTGGTAAAGTGCAGTGGTATTGTTGTGGAAGGGATAGGGGGGATGATGGATGATGGATGATGGATGATGGATGATGGGGGCGTCATGGCCAGTTTTGTTGGATCATGATCAAAAGCTTCAACCAAAGTTAAGTGTTTTCCTCAATGGCTGGTCGTCATCCCTAAGTCGTCCTTAAGTCTTCCCCTGCTGGAGTCGCCCTCTATGACAGCTCCCACCTTCGAACGTCTCGGATGACCTTCACCGCCACCTGTGGCGCATGAGATCCCTTGATGGTTCCTCAAAGTCTACAAATGGCAAGCACATGGGGGCCCTCTAAGCAAGATGAATGGAGCTACAATCAAGAATTAGCCAACCTTTCTAGTAGATCTACTAGTGGATTATCCGCCCTTGTATCTGGGATACCTTCGGACAGCTAAAATTCTAATCATGCACGACTCATGCCACAGTCAAAGCACCAAGCATATGCGTGTCATCCCACCCACCATCTCTTCCCTCTTTGCTTTACCACTGTACATGGGACATACAGCATATATATATACATATATATATACATATATATATACATATATAGATATATACATATATATATATATACATATATACATATACATATATACATATATATATATACATATATATATATACATATATATATGAATATATATATATGTATATGTATATATATTATATTCAAAAGTTCAGATATATTCCAAGTCTGCGAAATGACTCATGGCTGGGGATGAAAAACGCCTGCAGCTAACAGGGCCCTGTTGATGGCAGTAGATTGCAGTAGATTGGCGATGGCAGATATATCAGATGGTTACAGATAGTATCAGATTGTCGTCAGAAAGTGACCTCCTGGTTCTCTTTGGAGTCGCGGCACAGCAGGACCTTTCCAGGTGCCACGGCCACAGAACATGTTGGGACGAGGTGATTGCCATTAGACAACACTGTGACAACCGCAGTTGCACTCATGGACATTCTCAATGTGCGATGTAGGAACGTAAGTGTCCTATTCTGCAACTCCAAAATACCCCAAGATTCTTGATTATTTGAACTTATTTTGATTATTGTATTGATCTATATTGATCTACAACCTTCAAGATCAAGATGGGAACCAAATAAGGGCGGCCATGTGGGCCTCTTAAATCTCTGAAGACTCACTGTGGGGAGGTGTCGTGCTTGGGCAGCCTGGCCCCTTAAATCCCTGGAAAACACACCAGGCCACAGGTTGCTCCAATTCATTACATGTACCAAAAAAGAAGGCTGTTGGTCTCAAAAAAGATCTACCCTCTGGTAATTTAACATAGCTATTGAAAATGGTGATTTATAGTGGATTTTCCCATTAAAAATGGTGATTTTCAATAGTTATGTTAGTTTACCAGAGGGTAGAAGGCCATTTCTGTGTCGAAAATCATATCTGTTCAGGTCGCGATCCATCTGTTTTGAGGAAATCGCTGTTGGTACTGGCTTACTCGCAGTCTCAGTATCTGTTGGTAAAATGAATAACGTATATGTATGATTCCATATTTATATATATTTAGCTACTATATATATATATTAGAATTATAATGTGTAGGTGTATGTGTATATATATATAATGTATATATCATTGGTCGTTCCATATGTGTGTCTGTGTATGTATATATATATATATATGTATGTATCCGCCGACCCCGGCCTTGGCCAAGGCAGGGGCGGCGCCTGGGACCACCGCAGGTGTGGAACTTCTCCTTCTTCGCTTTCCAAGGTCAAACCCATCTCGCAGCCAGCAAGCTGCCCCAAGGCTCCTTCTTCGCTTTCCAAGGTCAAACCCATCTCGCAGCCAGCAAGCTGCCCCAAGGCCACATCGCGTAAACATTTTCCTGGCATGCTTCGTCCTCTATTAAGACTTCCAGGCATTTGGACATGAAAATTACATGCTTTGGGCATGTAAGTTTTACTCCGGAAGGTTTTGTCTGAAGGTTTTGTCTTTCAAGCCCAAAGCAGCCGTTCCCGCATTCCTGTAGTAGCAGTTCAAATCATTGACCACGCTTACAACTTAAAACGCTTAAAACCCTTAAAACGGTGACTTGGCATGAACAGGCACCCCAAGGCCACACATCAATGGCTTCTTATGGGCCGCTTCAAAAATCCCTTGGCATGCTTCATCCTGCAGCCAACAGGCACCCCAAGGCCACACATCAATGGCTTCTTATGGGCGTCCAAGCCTGCCGTTTGCCAGCCCTTAAACCTTTAAAACCCTCCAAACGCTCCAAACCCTCCAAACCCTTAAAAACCTTAAAACGCTGACTTGGCATGCTTCATCCTGCAGCCAACAACCACCCCGAGGCCACACATCAATGGCTTCTTCTGGGCCGCTTAAACAATCCCTTGGCATGCTTCATCCTGCAGCCAACAGCCACCCCGAGGCCACACATCAATGGCTTCTTCTAGGCCGCTTAAACAATCCCTTGGCATGCTTCATCCTGCAGCGAACAGGCACCCCAAGGCCACACATCAATGGCTTCTTATGGGCGTCCAAGCCTGCCGTTTGCCAGCCCTTAAACCCTTAAAACCCTCCAAACCCTCCAAACCCTCCAAACCCTCCAAACCCTCCAAACCCTTAAAAACCTTAAAACCCTTAAAACGCTGACTTGGCATGCTTCATCCTGCAGCCAACAGTCACCCCGAGGCCACACATCAATGGCTTCTTCTGGGCCGCTTAAACAATCCCTTGGCCCATCTCGCAGCCAGCAAGCTGCCCCAAGGCCACATCGCGTAAACATTTTCCTGGCATGCTTCGTCCTCCAGTTAAGACTTCCAGGCATTTGGACATGAAAATTACATGCTTTGGGCAAGTAAGTTTTCCTCCGGAAGGTTTTGTCTGAAGGTTTTGTCTTTCAAGGCTCCTTCTTCGCTTTCCAAGGTCAAACCCATCTCGCAGCCAGCCAGCCGGCGCAAGGCCACATTGCGTAAACATTTTCCTGGCATGCTTCGTCCTCCAGTTAAGACTTCCAGGCATTTGGACATGAAAATTACATGCTTTGGGCAAGTATAAGTTTTACCGGAAGGTTTTGTCTGAAGGGTTTGTCTTTCCAAAGCCCCCCAAAGCAGCCGTTCCCGCATTACTTGTCGTAGCACGTTTTAAAATCATTGCACGCTTACAACTTAAAACGTTTTAAAACCTAAAACGGTGGGGACTTGGCCATTGAACAGGCACCCCAAGGCCACACATCAATGGCTTCTTATGGGCCGCTTAAACAATCCCTTGGCATGCTTCATCCTGCAGCCAACAGGCACCCCAAGGCCACACATCAATGGCTTCTTATGGACGTCCAAGCCTGCCGTTTGCCAGCCCTTAAACCCTCCAAACCCTCCAAACCCTTAAAAACCTTAAAACGCTGACTTGGCATGCTTCATCCTGCAGCCAACAGCCACCCCGAGGCCACACATCAATGGCTTCTTATGGGCCGCTTAAACAATTCCTTGGCATGCTTCATCCTGCAGCCAACAGGCACCCCAAGGCCACACATCAATGGCTTCTTATGGGCGTCCAAGCCTGCCGTTTGCCAGCCCTTAAACCCTTAAAACCCTCCAAACCCTCCAAACCCTTCAAACGCTTAAAAACCTTAAAACCCTTAAAACGCTGACTTGGCATGCTTCATCCTGCAGCCAACAGCCACCCCGAGGCCACACATCAATGGCTTCTTCTGGGCCGCTTAAACAATCCCTTGGCATGCTTCATCCTGCAGCCAACAGGCACCCCAAGGCCACACATCAATGGCTTCTTATGGGCGTCCAAGCCTGCCGTTTGCCAGCCCTTAAACACTTAAAACCCTCCAAACCCTCCAAGCCCTCCAAACGCTCCAAACCCTCCAAACCCTTAAAAACCTTAAAACGCTGACTTGGCATGCTTCATCCTGCAGCCAACTGGCACCCCGAGGCCACACATCAATGGCTTCTTCTGGGCCGCTTAAATAATCCCTTGGCATGCTTCATCCTGCAGCCAACAGGCACCCCAAGGCCACACATCAATGGCTTCTTCTGGGCGTCCAAGTCTGCCGTTTGCCAGCCCTTAAACCCTTAAAACCCTCCAAACCCTCCAAACCCTTAAAAATTTTAAAACCCTTAAAACGCTGACTTGGCATGCTTCATCCTGCAGCCAACAGCCACCCCGAGGCCACACATCAATGGCTTCTTCTGGGCCGCTTACACAATCCCTTGGCATGCTTCATCCTGCAGCCAACAGGCACCCCAAGGCCACACATCAATGGCTTCTTATGGGCGTCCAAGCCTGCCGTTTGCCAGCCCTTCAACCCTTAAAACCCTCCAAACCCTCCAAAACCCTCCAAACCCTTAAAAACCTTAAAACCCTTAAAACGCTGACTTGGCATGAACAGGCACCCCAAGCCCACACATCAATGGCTTCTTATGGGCCGCTTAAACAATCCCTTGGCATGCTTCATCCTGCAGACAACAGGCACCCCAAGGCCACACATCAATGGCTTCTTATGGGCGTCCAAGCCTGCCGTTTGCCAGCCCTTAAACCCTTAAAACTCTCCAAACCCTCCAAACCCTTAAAAACCTTAAAACGCTGACTTGGCATGAACAGGCACCCCAAGCCCACACATCAATGGCTTCTTATGGGCCGCTTAAACAATCCCTTGGCATGCTTCATCCTGCAGCCAACAGGCACCCCAAGGCCACACATCAATGGCTTCTTATGCGTTTGCCAGCCCTTAAACCCTTAAAACCCTCCAAACGCTCCAAACCCTCCAAACCCTTAAAAACCTTAAAACCCTTAAAACGCTGACTTGGCATGCTTCATCCTGCAGTCAACAGCCACCCCGAGGGCACACATCAATGGCTTCTTATGGGCCGCTTAAACAATCCCTTGGCATGCTTCATCCTGCAGCCAACCGGCACCCCAAGGCCACACATCAATGGCTTCTTATGGGCGTCCAAGCCTGCCGTTTGCCAGCCCTTCAACCCTTAAAACTCTCCAAACCCTCAAACCCTCCAAACCCTTGAAAACCTTAAAACCCTTAAAACGCTGACTTCGCATGCTTCATCCTGCAGCCAACAGCCACCCCGAGGGCACACATCAATGGCTTCTTATGGGCCGCTTAAACAATCCCTTGGCATGCTTCATCCTGCAGCCACCAGGCACAACCGTGGCTGGCGCAATGTCTTGCTTGCAATGGTGACCAAGTCTGTAACCACTGCTGGAATTGCCCCATTCCCCGGGGAAGCATCAGCAAAGCAGTACAGCGGGTAGCTGCAACGCAGGCGAAAGTCGCGAGGACGGCAGCGGAAGAAAAAGCGGCACGCGCCCTTGCCGATGTCTGGGATGCCATCGCGAAACGAAAACGCAACAGAGAAAAGGAGAGCTCCCAAATGAAGGACGCAGAGCCGAAGGCAAAACATCCCAAACAAGAGAACCGAACAGAAACGAGCAAAGACGGGCCTGAAGATGTACGTGGCCAACGGGGAGACAGCGACGGAAGGCAGAGGGCGGTGCGGGCGACGACTGATGTCGCGGCTGCCAGCGTGGAACGAAAAAGGAAAACAGAACAGGACACCGCCCAAATGCAGCAAGCCCCGCCGGACGCAAAGCAACGTAGAGAAGACGGCGGAACAGAAAGAAGCACCGACAGGCAGGCAGAAATGAGCTGCAAGCAGCAGAGCAAGGGCAGTTCGCTGATGCCGTCGGAGTATCTATCTCTCCCTCTCTATCTATCTATCTCTCTCTCTATCTTTCTCTCCCCCTCTATCTATCTCTCCCTCTCTATCTATCTATCCATCTATCTATCTATCCATCCAGCTATCTATCCATCTATCTCTCCATCTACTTATCTGTCTATCCAACTGTCTATCTATCTATCTGTCTATCTCTCTCTCTCTCTCTA